ATTCTTTTTTTAAATATATGCTTATTGGGTATAGTAATAATTGTTTCTTCTATAATATCCCAAATACTATTTATTTTGTTTATATATTCTTCTATATCTTGCACCTTTATTTGAATATTTTTTAGACTTTTTTTTATTTCTAATCACTTTTGCAGCTCCTGTGCATAATTTTCCCAATTCTCTGGTTTTACCTGGTTATATAAATATAAAGTTCTTAATTGTCCTTTTCTTTTAACCTTTATTTTACTATTTCTTTCTATTATATGTTTAATCCATATTTCTGCAGTTATAATTTTGTGATCACTTTTTGTAATTTCTTCTGTTTCTTTAATGCTTGCCTTTTGCAGCCCTGTGACCAACTCTTCTAATATCCAAATATAGTCAATTCTTGTTGCAGCTTCCTTATTTGATCATGTATACTTTTGGCTTGTTGAATACATATTTCTATATATGTTTATAAAGTCTTGTTTTTTTATTCAGTTAAAGATTAGTAGTCTTTTAAAATTTGCTGATTGTGAATACTATCTGTCTAATATATTGTCTGCTGTATGATTAAAGTTATTTATAATTATGACTTGTATTTGTCTTTTTCATCTAGTAACCATCTTTATAATCTTTTGTTGAATATTTTTTTTTATTGTTTTGTTACTTAGTAGTATATAGACTCCTATCACTATTAGCTCTAATTGCTTGAAGTATAATGTAATCTCTATTATGTATTCACTTATTCTCTTAACTGCGTCTATATGTTTTTTCTATTGTTCTTCTATTAGAATTCCTATATCAGATTCTTTTTTCTTATCTTTTGCTATGTTTGTTCAGTATTCTACATAGTTTTTATTTGATATATGTACCAAAAACCTTACTTCTTTTTCAGTAATATTTGTTTCTATAACTTCTAGTATTGCAATTTTCTTCTCTTCTGCCTAGTCGAGCAGATTTTCAAGCTTCTATCTATTAGTTTTAAGTCTATTAACATTATGACATGCTATTTTGATTTCTTTCTTTTCTTGTTTTCATTTTTCTTTTAATTGGTCTTGTTTTGCTTCTATGTTTTCTACTTTTTCTTTACCTTTTCTGGTTTTCTTTTCTTTTCGATAAGGAGTTATTATGCTTTTTTCATATATTTCTCTTTCTCTTTGTAGAAAACCTTTAAGCTTCTCATTTATTTTTATTAGTTCAACTGAGATGCCCTTAAAAGCAATTAACTAGGCTGTCCCTTGTTCTTAGCTGTATTCTTTCTATTGATTTGTCTTGTTGAACTTCGAGTCTATCTAGTCTTTCTAGGATTCTTTGAAGCAAATCTTGTATTTATAGATCAAAGTTATTTTCTTCTGTTTGCTTTATTCGACTACTATCTTTGCTTTTATTGTTTTCTTTTTTGATTATTTCTTTTTTGTTACTCTTCTACTCTTTTTCAATTATATTAATAGACATTTCTTCTGAGTTTGAGTGTCTTTGACTATTATTATCTTTTTTTTTCTTATTCTACTTTTCTTGAAAGTTTTTTCAATATAGAAGGTGGTTATTAAATCTTATTGGTTTGGATTGTGCTGTTTCTATTTTTTCTTCTGATATAAAGGTAATTGTCATTACTCTTTTTTGGTTTCCATTTCTGTTAGGTGATATGTAAACTGACTTTGCTTCTTTGTTTTTTAAGCAGTATAATAGCAATACTTCTGAAGCATTGCCTAGGAGCTTTATTAGTCTTGTTGTGAATAAGTTTTGAAGATCATGTTGTTTGTAGTCTTTATCACCTTTGGTTACTCTTGCCAACTTGTAGACACCAATTGGCAAAGTCCATAAAATGTTTTTGTCAATAAGTTGATCAGTTTAAACTACTACTAATGCCTTGTGTTTAGATCTTTTGATGCATTTTATTTGTATCTTCTTGAAATTTTTGTACATATGTTTGATTTCCTCTGCATTGATATTTACTGATAAGTCTTATATTATAAAACAGTTATATGAATTTTTTTTATTTTTTGTCATGAACACATCTTCTTTCTTCTTATCTTCTTTTCTTTTATATTGGCTTTTGTATCTTTCTTTCTCCTTCTTGTTATTGTTTTTAATTTGTTGTTCGAGTTTTGATTCTTTGTTTCTTTCTTTTTCTGAGATAAGCTTAAGCTATTTACCTTCTTTTTTTTGGTTTCTGTTCATCACTGCATCTCGACTATGTTTGCAATCAAAGTCTACTTCTATCTAGTTGTTTCTATTCTTAAAAACTTTTTTGATTGTCTTAATATGATAGTTTTTGCTCAGAATCCATTGCATATATTTTATTCTTTTATTATTTGTTTTTCCAGACAGTATATATGCAGACATGTTTGCTTTGAAAGACATGTCCTTATTACATATTTTATTTTCTGGTGACTATTGGTTATGTTCAATTGTATTAATAAGGATTGGATCTTCATAGGTCAGTTTTTTTTCTTTTAATTCTATTATTTTTTTCTTGATGTTTTTTATATTTTTCTTAACATCTTGGATAATACTATTTCTTGAAACTTCTGTGTTCTTCTTTATCTTTTTCTTTCTTGTTTCTTCTGTTTCATTTAATTTGTTTGTAGAAGTTTGGTTTGTATTTGATAAAGAATTTTTTTATTGCGTATCTTGTAGCATATTAATGTTAAGTACCTTTATTTGGCCAATGATTTTATTTATTGTTTGGGTTGGTTTTTCTTATAATATTTTTTCTCTTTCTGCATCTTGATGTCTCTTTTTTGTTGTTGATATTTGCATCTTTTCTATATTGTTCAGTTTTTCTATTCCTTTCATTTTTTTCTTTTCTTTAAGTATTTCTTCTTTATTCATATTTGTAATATATTCAACTGATTTTGGATTCTGATTCATCAATCTAAGGCTTTGTGCCTATTCATCTATTATATCTTTTTCGAATTAACTTAGTTCTGCTAGACTCAAAGTCTTAAGAATTTGTTCATAAAGTAGTACATCACTTAATGTAATATGGTTTAGATTGTTTATTACTAAGTCTTTTGCTATATGCTTTACATTAGTTTTTTTGCAAATGTTGTTAGAATTTGATCCAACAATTCAGAGTTTAAATATTTTCGATTTTTATTACCTGCCTTCTTGATATAGTATATAATATCTGTATCAATAACCTGATCCATTTAATTTACTTGTTAAGTTTTTAACTTATTTGATTTTTTTTTGAATTATTCATGTGTACTCTGTGTTATTCTACTATTTACTACTATTTATCTATATATTTCCTAATTGAGAACATAATTTTGTTGTTTGTTGTTATTATTTAATCAGTCATGTATTTCCTTTCTGTTTTTTAAGATCAATCATGTTTTCCCAAAATTTCGAGTTTTATATTAAAAAAAAAAGAGATTTTCCTAAAAACAAGTTTAGTTTGTTAAAGATACCTTTTCTATTGTTATATTTTTATTATTGTTTATGTACTTTTGCATATAAATACTTTTTTCTTAAGGGTTCAAGAACTGTTTTCTATTTTGTTTTGGTCATATTTTATGTTTTGTTTCTGCTTTATTTTGGAATTAAAGATTGCCAGAAAGAGTTGATTGTTTAATATTTTGTAAATAAAAGTTTTTATATAAATTATTTTTTTTAAATAACATAATACAAATCAGATATTAGGTCCTAATTTTAGTTCTTATAAAGTTTTTAAAGATGCTAAATATCTTTACTTAGTATACACAACTACTGTTTTATAGTGCAGTTTTCGAAATGTAACATAATGATTATCTATAGGTTAAAAATATTTAACAAATATTTAACCAATTTTACTATTGTTAAAATCAGAAAAACCTGTTTTGCAATTTTACTAAATAGTTCAAAAATAATTTACTTATAAAAATTTATTTAAAAAAAATAAACACCATGAGTTTTATATATATTTACAATTTGTATCCCCTATCCTTAATAAATCGGTTCTCATAACCCGACCGTGCTAAATTTTAAAAGTATATTTACTATCCTGATGAGTTTTTTTAAAAAAATTATATAAAAAATTTATACTGTTGTTCCTCTATATAGTCACCTCCAATATAATCGCATCATATGTAATCACATTTATGTTTAAGCCAAACTATGTTTTAGTTTATAAGCAAAAAAAAACTCGTTTATAAGCACATTTTTTAAAAAAATTTACTATGCACCCAACTGTGTGATTGTATGGAAGGGCCGATCTGCTGAATTTTGGTAAAAACTTAATAAATCGGGTGCCAAAATTATAGGTCAGAAGACACCGGAATAGCCGGCGTTGGTATACTTTCAGAGCATCTTCGCTTGCAAATAATTTAGAAGGCTTATCAGTCCGAAAAATTGTATATCTTCTATAAGCCAGGTTTCAAGCAGTTTCAAAGATATGGATATACTGAAAAACTTTCGTAATAAACTTTCGACAAATATTAGTTAGTTTCTTTGGTATTTCGAGTTGCGAATTGCAATCATTCGACATGCCATTCGACAACCATTCGACCATCACCGGAAAATATTTCGACATGTTTGATCGAATGTTTGCCGAATGGTTGTCACTCGAATGACTGCCGAATGATTGTCGAATGGTGCCATTCGACATGTCGAATTTTTTTTTAATTTTTAATCTTTTCAAATACGTATTAGCACCTATTCGAGTAATATGGAGTCTAATCTCCGGTGCTTTTTTATTAGTTCTTGCCAAGACTTGTTTGTTGACAAGAACAATCTTTTCCATAAATTGTACAAACTAAACGCACAAAACATGGGCATATATTCAAATAAAAACTTCATAATGATAAAATTATCTGTAGAACAAATATTACATGTAATATATCTTTTATTATCTAGCTTATCAAATCGGCCGACTCATTCGACTAATTGTTCTTTGTGTAAATCCGATGAGTTATGACTATACTAGGCAAATAAAATACATTGGATCAGAACACGTGTTAGGATAAATTTTTTTTGTCTACCCGACGATAGTATTTAAGTAGGTCAACTTCTCTTAAAAGAAATCATAATTCAACATGTCTAAAAAATTAGGTGAACTTGTGGTCGTTGCCATTAAGGCTGTAAGTAACTTTATTCCGTAAATAAGACTCAATGAAAGTTAAAAAATTCACTTTAAAAAGTTCTGATGGAACAAATTAGTTGTCTGGCACTGGCGATAACGAAGTCTTTAATAATCTTCGTAATGTTTTATAACACTAAAACCTTTACAAACCTGCAAATGATCTTGTCATTTTATAGCGCAATTTAAGTGCTCGCGACGTTATCGGCAAGGGAGATCCTTTTACCACATTTCGGATAGGAGATATGGCTAAAAGAACGAAAACTGATAAACGAGGTGGTCAACATCCGGTATGGGATGAAGAACTACGCTTTCAAATTATGGATGAACAAAGGCATAAAACAATGAAGGTTCAGATTTACAATGAAGATAAACGGGAGCACGTTCTTATAGGCGATGAAGTCATTAAATTAGATGAGGTGTTCAAAAGTGGCGAATGGGATGGTAAAATCCTAATTGAATTTGATTTAAGATAATGCTTAATATTAAAAATTTTCATGCTAATCTTATGCAGCTTGGCATGAAATCAAATATCGCAACAAATACGCTGGAGAAATTTTCCTTGAGATGACATTTTATAACGCTGTAGGCGCTTTAATAATGGATATTTTTTATAACGATTGGTTACGAAATTCCCATACACTCAATATATCATCTTTTTAAATTTAAGGGTATTCCACCTCCAGTAGCAACCCCTCTACGACCAACGCCTGTAGTTCAAACTCCACCTCAGTCTTCTACTCCTTATAAATCCCCAAATAGTAAACCTGCGCCTCTACCAGCTTCATACCCTCCCCCAGCTAATTCACCTCAGCTTGTAAGTGGACTTTATAATTTAAATTTTGCTTTATTCGCGTTTAAAATAGAAATCGTTATTTTAACTATTTAATTGTTTAGCAAAACACTACACCCATTGGTCTGGTTTCGCAATCAACTTTACCTTATTCTCCACAAGGAAATTCAGCGCCCTATCCACCTCAAGGAAATTCAGCGCCCTATCCACCTCAAGGAAATTCAGCGCCCTATCCGCCTCAAGGAGTATCTGCACCCTATCCACCTCAAACACCTCAAGGAGCGTCTGCACCCTATCTACCTCAAGGAGCGTCTGCACCCTATCCTCCAACGTCTGCACCCTATCCTCCAACGTCTGCACCCTATCCTCCAACGTCTGCACCCTATTCGCTTCAAACACAAACATCTGCACCCTATCCACCTCAGGGAGCTTCTTTGCCCTATTCGCCTCAAACATCTGCACCTTATCCACCTCAGGCATATCCACCGCTACAAGTTGGGGGCCATCCTCAACCACCTCAAAATGGTAGTCCAGTGTCATTTCCGATACCTATACCAACGCCTAATGCACCAACGCCTAATGCACCAGCTCCTAATGGAGGATACCCTCATTATAATGGAGGTTCTCAAAATTTGAACTATCCTAATTATTCAGCACAAGTACAAGGCGGTTATCAACAACCATCATATCCATCTAATAACGTTTATCCACCTCCTAATAACCAAATGTATCCACCGCCAAATTTTGGCCAAGGGTACCCACATACAGGAGGTCCCTATTAACTTTTTTTTAAACCACTTTAATTTTGAAATTTTAGATTTTTTATACTAAATATAATTGATGTTAATATGTGATTGATATTTTATGTACTTGTAAATTTATAGCAACCCATATTTATTTTTATAACTATGCTTTTTATGACTAGAAATTTTTTATAGTTCATTTGTAAATGATTATTCAAATAAAACAATATTTAACATTGCTTTAAATTCTTCAAATTAATAAGCGATTTGATACCACATTGACAATCAATAATTGAATACAACATAATAATACTTTTAAAACGTTTACAACATGAGTTAATCTATTCTCAAAACATCAAGAAAAAATAAATTTTCACCATTATGAATATGTTAATCACAAAACTCATGTTTAGAGTTCCGAACCGGATGCAAAACCGTCACCCGGACCACCCGTATAATATAAAATCAGGGTGAATCAGTTGAAAACGGTTTGAATAATCGTAGTTTTTTTAAATTTTCGAGGGCGTAGTTCGATTCGATATTATCGAAAAATAAAGAAAAAAGGTCGAATCTGAGATCCGGACAATAAGCATGAGCATAATACGATAATATAAATACAAGCCTGTGAATAGTGTTGTAATCCGGAAGAGACTTTATAACTCGACATCAATTTAACGTAAGGCCACTGATTAGAGTTGCAGGTGAAACTGGTGAAAATGATGGTGAAACTGGTAAAACTAAATAGAACAGCCAATGAGAAACTTTATGGTGAAACTTGGTGAAATTTAAAATTAGGTTTACTAGCAATTCTACAACAGATATAAACTTAAGAACAATGTTGCAGTTAGTATATTCTTTCAAAAGAGATCTATTTCTAATATGGTTTTTCTATTAGATTCAAATAAGCTAGTAATTTTTAACTATTAAGAAAATTATTTGTATTGTAAAGAAAAAAGTGTACAGTCTAATTATCCTTTATATAGTTACAACCTACTTTTTTTATTTATCAATTAAATTTATATTTTACTTGAGATTAGGTTTTATAGCTTAATAGTAAAGTTGTTAATTTTCTACAATCTAGGTCAACAGTTCAAGTTAAACTGAAGGCAAAAATTTAAAAATTTAAAAATTTTAATTTTGTAACCTAAAATAGAAGCCAAATCAGATGCAAAACCTTATAAAAAGTTTTAAAATAAAGTACAAAAACAGATTAAGAATTTTTTAAAAAAAATCAACTTTGCAAAAAGAAAACATTATATGTGATAATGAAGTTATAAAGGTTCAGTTATATAACAGTATTATACAAGTAAGTTTTAAAAAGATGTAATAGTATTAATATTTTTGTATTTAATTTATAAAGTACTTAATTAAGAGAATAATATAAATATAGTTAAAATTAGAATAATAAGCAATATAGAGCATGCAAAGAAAATTTGTAACTAAGAATTAGTCTAATTAGAATTAAAACACTTTAGTCAAGTATTAGTAAAAGTATTAAGAAAATATTATCTAATAAATAGTTGTATATTACAATTTAGTTAATAGTATTATACTTATATAATGTTATAAGTAAAAGTTTTCTTAATTTTTATACTATAATAATAACATAATACAAGGAATCTCTTATATATATATGTAGTATCTAAGAGGAAAGTATAGTTCCTGTTAGACATTGTTAAAAAACTATACCTTTTTCTAAAGCATTCAGAAAAGGTAATACAATACTAATAACTTTATTTTATTTTACTAAGATAAATTTTGTTTATAAGAATTACCCTAGATGAAAAGTATCAAAATAGTTTAGTTAAAAATCATTTATTAAAATAATAACAAAAAGAACTATTTTTAGGTTTCTATTTTTAAAAAATTTTAAAATGTGTTTACAATATTAAAGAAAAAAGAAATATCTGTTACTTAATCAGACTTAGGGAATTTAGTAAAGTTTATATATCTGTAAACTAAGCAACTAAGTAGCCAAGTAATTAAGTAACTAAGTGATTAAATTTTTTTTTTTTTTTTGGTGTTAAGATAAGACTAAGTGATTAAATAACTAAGCATTAAGTGACTAAGTAATTAAGTAACTAAGTAACTAAGCAATTACTAAACAACTAAAAGATTCTAGCAACTAATAACTAATAATTACTAAGTGACTAATTACTAAATAACTAAGCAACTAAGTGATTAAGTGGCTAAGTGACTAAGTGATTACTAAGTAACTAAAAAGTTCTAGTAACTTCTACTAATAATAATACAATAATAAAAATAACTAATATTAAATAAAAATAATAATAAAATAATAATAATAAATAAGATAAATATCAAAAATAAAAAATACAACTCTTTCAATTTTACAAAAGTAGAAAAAGAATACATCAAAGTTTATTCAAAAACTACTCTAAGAAACAGATTTTTTGCTACTAAAAAAAAAGAAAGAAAACTCAGAAACAGTATAAATTTAATAGAACAACTTCTTGAAGAAGCTGCTCATCAAAAATATCAAAAGTTTTTCAAAAATTTTTAGAAAATTTTCAGAAAAATTAAAAACTAGCTGTAACCCTGAAAAACTAATCAACACATAAACAAAGTACATAGTAAACAATCATATAATTAAAATAAACAAACAGATAAACAAAGTAACATGTGTTTAAACACTCAACCATTACAGAATGTGACTACTAAATAAGGCATTGCAAACAAGAGCATATGTAGTTTTTAGATTAGTAATTAGTTTAGAAAGTTCTAGAACAAAGTTAGATTTAAGTTAAACAAACAACTAATAACAAAATAGCAATGACAGAAATTAAAGATTTGTATAATCTAAATCAAAGAACAATATCAGAAAAGCATGCCTGTCTAAACAAGCAAAAAAAACATATTACAAAAATAAATATAAATATAGCAAACTTCTTAGATGCAAGTGACCTAGTATAGGTATATATTATAAGAGTCTTAGTAGACAAATATAGAGAAGTGTGCAGAAATATTGTTAAGAAAAAAATTACAACAATAGAGGAAAAGGTTTTAATTAACTAAGAGAAAAAAGAAAGCAAAAACAGTATGCAAGATGTAATATACAATAGTAAAGAAGAAGTACAAAATATAGAAACAAGAATAAAGCTTAAACTACTAATATTACAACTAGTAGATCAGAAGACTTGCATAAAAAGAAAGAAAATAATAGCAGAAAAAAAAATCGATAGTTCTAATAAGAAAAAAAGAAAAAAATCAATTAACAAGGTAGCAGAAAGCAAATTTCAGCAAAACAAAGACAAAATAGAACTAGAAGCACTAGTAACGCAGTTAATAGTTCAAGAAAGCAACTTTAAACAAAGGCACTTAGAAGAAGAAACAAAAATAGTAAATAAAAAAAAAGATGACAGAGCTAACAAACAAGCAGAGATTTTATTAAATGAAATAAGAAAAGAAATGCTTGAAAATTCAGATAAGGCAAATATTGAAGATAAAGTAGCACTGTTAATGACAGAATGTGGTATACATGATTTAGGAACAGAAGAGTCAAAAAGACTAATGCTTCTAAGATACAACAATAGAACAAAGAAGAGTACATTAGTAGAAAAAAAGAAGAATCCAGAAAGCAGATTCCATAAAGATATTCATGCATCAAGATGGGCACCTAAAGATATAAGTGACTCCATATGGTCTACTAAAAACAGATCAAAAATTTCAGAACAAAAAGAGGTGCTAAAGCAAGAACAAAAGCAAAATGAACAACTCAAGAAAAGAAATAATTTAATAGTAATGTTAACAATTTAGGACTTGTTAAAAGATGCAAAATATAGAAGAGTAATATGATAAGTTTTTATGAAAAAGCAAAAATACTTGAATAGAGAACTCTAAAAAAGACAAAAGCTGTACTAGTTCAAATTACAGGTTGGAATCAGCAAAGAATAAACCTACTAGCATCAAGCTGGTCAGTATATTTTAAAAAAGAATCAATGTGTAGAATTATACCAAAAAGATTTAATTTAGAAATACTTGAAAAAAGAAGAAAACACAAGGCAGCATTACAAGATATTCCAAAATCAGCATTAGAGTCAACCTTGTTAAGACAACTAAGACCTT